TGTGGGATCTTCCCAGACCGGGGCACGAACCCGTGTCCCCTGCATCGGCAGGCGGACTCTCAACCACTGCGCCACCAGGGAAGCCCAAAGCTTTTAATTTTGATGAAATCCAATTATTTGTCTATTTTTTTCCTTTGTTTCCTGTGCTTTTGGTATCCTATCCCAGAAATCATTGCTAAATCCTAGGTCATGAAGCTTTTACCCTATGTTTTCGTCTAAGAATTTTAGTTTTAGATCTTACATTTAAGTCATGTATTCATTTTGAGTTAATTTTTGTGTATGGTGTTAGGTAAAGGGTCCAGCTTCATTTTTTTTTGCAAGTGGATATCCAGCTTTCCCAGCACTATTTGTTGAAAAGACTGTCTTTTCCCCATTGAATAGTCTTGGCACCTTTTTATGGGCAAAAATCATTTGCCCATATATGTGAAGGTTTATTTCTAGACTTCCTATTCTATTCTATTGGTCTATATGTTCATCTTTATGCCAGTACCACAATGCTTCTATTATTGTAACTTTGTATAAGTTTTGAAATCAGAAAGTATGAGTACTCCAACTTTGTTCTTCTTTTTCAAGATTATTTTGGCTTTTCAGGGTCCCTTGAGATTCCATATAAATTTTAAGATGAGTTTTACTATTTCTGCAAAAACAACGGCATTGGAATTTTGATAGGGCTTGCATTTAATCTCTAGATCACTTTAGGTAGTATTGCCATCTTACCAGTATTAAATCTTACAGTCTGCAAATACCTGATGTTTTTCCATTTATTTATGTCTTCTTTACTTTCTGCAGTGTTTGTAGTTTTCAGTGTACAAATCTTTTACCTCCTTTGAGTTAATTCCTAAGTATTTTATTCTTTTTGATGCTATCGTAAATGAAATCCTTTTCTGTATTTCTGTTTTGGCTTGTTCATTGTTAGAGGATAAAAACACAACTGTTTTTGTGTTGATTTTTTATCCTGCTACTTTGCTGAATTTGTGTATTAGTTCTAACAGTTTTTTTCTGGAACTTTTACATTTTCTACATATAAGATCATCTGTTGTCATCTGTTGCCAACTATTATATATAGAATGGATAAACAAGATCCTACCGTATAGCACAGGGAACTATATTTAATATCCTGTGATAAACCATAAATAATGGAAAAGAATATGAAAAGAATGTATGTATGTGTAACTCAAATCACTTTGCTGTACAGCAGAAATTAACCCAACATTGTAAATCAACTATACTTCAAAAAAAAAATTTTGAAAAAAGATCAAGTCATCTGTGACTGAGATCATTTTACTTTTTCCTTTCCAATTTAGATATCTTTTATTTATTTTTCTTGCCTGATTGCTCTGGCTAGAAATTCCAGTACTGTGTTGGGTTGAAGCGGTAAAAGTGGGCATCCTTATCTTGTTTCTGATCTCAGAGGAAAAGATTACAGTCTTTAGCCATTGAGTATGATGTTAACTATGGGTTCTTTAAGTATGGTCTTTATTGTGTTGGGGTATTTTCCTTCCAGTCCCAGTTTATTGAGTGTTTTGAGGTTTTTTTAATCAAGAAAAGGTGTTGAATTTTGAATTTTGTCAGTTGCTTTTTTCTACATCACTTGAGATGATTATGCGATTTTGTGTCTTCTTTCTGTTAATGTGATGTGTTGCTTTAGTTGGTTTTCATATGTTGAACCATTCTTGCATTCCAAGGATAAATCTCATGGTGTATAATCATTCTAATATTCTGAATTCTCTTTGCCTAGTACTTTATTGAGGATTTTAAAATCAATATTCATAAGGAATATTGGTCTTTAGTTTTCTGTTCTTATAGGGTTTTTGTCTGACTTTATTATCAGGGCAATGCTGGCCCCATAGAATAAGTTAGGAAATATTGCCTCTTCTTTAGTTTTTTGGAAGAGTTTCAGAAGGAGTGGTGTTAGTTCATCTTTAATATTTGATAGACAGTAAAACTATCTGGTACAGAACATGTTTACTATTGGGAGGCTTTGATTACTGGTTCAGTTGTTTTACTAGTTATATGTCTGTTCAGATTTTCTACTTCTTCATAATACAGTTTGGGTAAGTTTTGTGTTTCTAGGAATTTGTCCATATCTAGGCTATACAATTTTTTGTCATACACTTATCCATGGTTTTTCCTTATAACCCTTTTTATTTCTTTTGACTCCATGGTAATGTTGCCAACTTGCATTTCTGATTTTAGTACTCTGTGTCTTCTCTCTTTTATTTTTAGTCAGTCTCACTAAAGGTTTGTCAATTTTGTAGATCTTTTCAAATAACTGATTTTGCATTTGTTGATTTTTTTCTCTACTGTTTTTCTGTTTTCTGTTTTATGTATCTAGGCCCTTGTCTTTATTATTTCTTCCTTCTGCTGGCTTTGGGTTTAGTTTGTTCTTTTTCTAGTTCTTTAAGTTGTAATAAAATTATGTTGTTAATTACAGCAGGATTTAAAATATCTTTATATATATATTTCTTAATCCTTATATTTTTATAACATTGAAGTGTTTTATCCAAGAATAGGAGAGGTTTTTCAGGTGACTTTAATGTCATTCAAAACTGTTCTAGGGGGCTTCCCTGGTGGCGCAGTGGTTGAGAGTCTGCCT